ATATCAGAATGGTTACAAAAACTTATGCATGTACATGAGAAGAAGAAAACACTTGCTGTGGCCTTCAACTCGATATTCAGATATATCAACGACGTGTTATTAATCAAAAATATATACTTTCATTTGTATGCAGACCCAGTGAACTTGAAATAAAAGATACCACAGAGTATGAAACATATTTTCATATTTGGATATTTAACTAAAAAAAAGACATTAATGGTGATCTGACAAGATTCTTTATGATATACTTAATGACTTCAAGTTTTCTGTCGTCAAGTTCTCTTGCTTATGTACAATATATCATTATCACGTGCATATGGAGTTTATGTCTCCCAGTTGATTTTATACGCCAGATCATGCTCTGCATTCGAAAAAAATTCTGACAGGCTATTGACAAGGAAGTTGATGAAACAAAGACATCAACAGCCTCGTTTAAAGTAATTATTTTGCAAGTTCTGTGATCAATGCAATGACCTTGTCAGCAAATACAATCTATTATTAAGTCAAAGGCTGAGTTTTTTGTTTTTTTTTCATACTAATTGTTAGACCATTCTGAACACATTGGATTGTCTACGGATTTTTTCGTTTGGCCGATCATCGCGTACCAGTGCTGACCAGTCGAAAGGGGATGCTTACTCCTCCATGGCACCTGATCCAACCTCTGATGTATTAAGAGGTTTGCTATGCGCCCGAGTTTTATTGTTTCCATAGATTTTCTAGCTTGATTATTGTTCCTTATCTTCATTTTCAATACTTCCAAATTTACAAAGGAAAATCAATTAAGATATTCTCCCGTTCTTCATGTTCATAGTTTTTAAATGTGAAGAACTGCGAAAAATTAGATCTCAAATAAAAAGTGGTTTCCTTTACATGTAGGTAATAAACTAAACTGAATATTGGTGATAATGAATGATTTAACCAAAAATAGGAATCAATATTTTACTCCTATGTTTTCAGATTAATTTGAAAAGAACTTATTGTGGCCCTTGTTTTTTCACCAGATTTCTAATGTTTTTAACAAGGCCTAATGTCCTTAACAGTCAACTGAGTATGATACAGCACTATAAAGGATCCATAGAAGTATACCCTGCCCAACACCATAACGCTTGAACAAGTGGTCAAAAATTTCAAAAATCTGGTAAAAAAATAACGTCATTATAAGCGGAACGTTATATATTAATATAATTACAATATAGACATAAACGTTTTTTTTAACATTTCATTAACGGGTTTTTCTTTTATATTACTAATGTAATAAGTTTTACTATATTCCTTGAAGAATGCTGAATCACACCGGAAAGAGTTCTAACACACGCCGGAAACAGTTATAACACCATCCCGAACATCCTTGCGTGCTTTTATAGCTCGGGTTCGATATCTAATGACGTCGGTTGCTAAGCAAACTTAAACAACGGATCTTAGTTCAAAACGTCATGAAAACGTCTTTGGACTCGTTGTCTAAAATTAAACGATTTAGACGATTTTTCATTTTTAAAAATGTTATATAATATCAAACGGGTTCTCGGGTGACTATCCCAGGGTATTTGCCCCTCGGTGACAGGAAATCCCTGGAATGTTAAGTCAGCATTGGGTGAGGCGACATAACACTCCACGGACTTCCTGTCACTTTTGTGCAAATATTCTGGTATGTCACCCTCGAAACCATGTGATATAAGTATAATATAACGTTCTGCTTATATGAGGTTCCTATATATGTTACTGTATTATTGTTATTCAGCGGATAGGACCCCGTGCCGGAAAATTATCAAAATTATTTGAGGGAATGCAGCACATGTTCATTAATTATATTATATGCTGAGATAGATAAGTTTTCCATAAATTGAAATTAAATTAATTGTAAATCCGGATGATTTAGTTTCTAGTACGTGCAAAGTGATGGGCTTTTATAACGGCAACATCTGGTGAAGTTCCTGTTTGAGCTAACTGACCCGACATACAAGTGCGATTTGACATGAAAATGCCAAAAAGGCCATACTACAAAGTCATGAAATAGTTTTTTTGGATTTTTTTTTCTCTTGAAAGAATTTATTGTTTGAAACTTTTGTGCGGAATTTTTCCCTCAGTCTTTTTTTTTCTTCATTAAAGTTGTATAATTCCCCGAGTCATTACACACCTTTAGAATATGCATTAAAAAGAACAATGACTTTTGACATTTTTTTTTATGTTGGTAAAAGTATATCAAGATGTAATGAATATAGAATATTACACTGCTGTTTTCATCTCGGCCCTGGTATACCCTCTAATGTGTCTCGGTCCGCACAATACGGGCTGATACCAGAGCTGAGATGAAAACAGTGATGTGATTTTGTTTACATCATATATCTTAAACAAAAGGCAATGAAACAACAAATATTAAGATATTTTCAACAAAACATATTATAAAAATTTGTCGCAAGAAATAGAATTAGAGTTATCTTTATTTTTTTATGTTCATAAAGTAGGCAAAGATGTTACTTGACGAAGGTGTTTAATCGTGTAGAGAAATGATTTGCCCGATTTGTTTATCAAAGTCTAGTTCTAGTGTTTGGAAACATATTACATGTACATTCCGAAGCACATTAGGTTAAAAAGATTTGAAAGTCCGAAAGTTTAGATAGCTCTACTTTCACTTTGGATCGAACCGATTTACAACTTGTTTAATGAATTGTTACAGGTCTGAAATTTATAGTAACTGTTTGTTTTGCTTACGATTTATATTAAATTAAAAAAATATACAATTAAAAGAAAACTTGGTATTACCATACTGTCAAAGCAAACAAACTTCCATTTCTTTTCAAAATATGATGTGTTGACGTTCTCAGTAAAGAATAGTTACCCCTCCCTTACGTCACAAGTACCATGATTTAGCGCTATTTTCTCAATATGAAAAAGTTGAAGATAATGAAAAGTGACCGATCTCAAAAAAACTACAAACAATACAAATCTGTGAAAGGGCATAGGACCCCAGATATTTCAGATCAGGAGATCAGGTACCTATGAGGAGTAAGCATCCCCTGTTCACCGGTCACAACAGCAGTGATCCCTATGTATTGATCAATTAAACAGAACATTCAGTGGTAAAATTTAGCATAAAAAAAGCCTAACAATTGGTATGAAACAAGTCAGGCAAAATATGCCATAATGATAGGTTATATTTGCTAAAGGTCAATATAACGACCATAGAATTAACAAAATCATGACTTTAACGCGGTTGTTGAAATCCCTGTAACATCAAGTTTTCTGTAAGTACCCTGCTTCTGTTTAATAATTTATTGTACTCATGATCAGAGCATGCTCAGCAAATAATCTTGGAGACATAAACACCATCAGCAGGTGAGAGTAGAATATTACCAAACAAAAAAGGAAAGCTGACGATGGAAAAGACTAGACCATCTCGTTTTTCATACAATTTTGTTGTCATACAACATTCTACATAAATAAATAATTTTCAAAGATTCGGATCTAACTTAGTATACAAAATATTTTCATTAACATTCAAATATAATCAAATATAATTATTACTCTTCATTCACACAAATCAAACAGAAATAATGGATTTTAAAGGCAGGACAGCCCTTGAAAACGTGCAGCTTCAAATCTAGACCTTTACTCCTCACTCAGGGTCATTGAGCAGTGAGGGTTCTTTATCGTGCCAACGCCTACCGTGACTCGGGACCTCGGTTTTTAGGTTTCATTCGAAGGACCCGCAACTTTCTCTTCGAAGTGCCGAGTGCATGGCGAAGGAACAGTTGCTACCTATTTGTTATCGACTTAGGTCAGTCGAGGCCGTGATTCGAACAAACGACCTTATAAATGGAAAACTCTAGTATACACTGTACTTATTAGTCCCTACCGGTGAAACCGGAGGGGACTATAGGTTTCCTCTGAGTCTGACCGTCTGTCTGTCTGTCTGTCAGTCTGTCCCACTTGGTTTTCCGCACTTTTTTCCTAAACTCTTGCAGATATTGAGCTGATTTTTGGTATGCGAGTGTATCTTGATGAGTTACAGATCAAGTTTGCATTTCGTTCCACTTCATTGATTTTTGACGGAATTATGACCTTTTCAATTTTTAAGGGTTTTCCGTGATTTTTTTTTCTAAACGCTTGCAGATAATGAGCTGATTTTTGGTATGTAACTTAACGTGATTACTTATAGTTCAAGTTTGGATTTCGTTCCGCTTCAATGATTTTTAACGGAATTATGGCATTTTCAATTTTTAAGAGGAACCAGATTACACTTGCCGGTAGGGGACTAATATTGCTAATGCAATACTCTCAGAATGCTTGTTAATTATGTGATTATGTGATTATCATCTCTTCTTTGAATTTTGTATTCAGGGCATTGTTATTAACTTAATGATATGTTTTCCTGTATCTAACGCTTTTGACATATTAATGATGTTTTAAAGATATCAAATAATTTAAAATTGAAAAATAAACCTAATTATGTTTTTCGTTAATAATTGTTTAGTTCAAAAAAATATATCGACATGATTGGTTGAAATAGCCACATTTTGAATAGTTGCATATATCAGTATCTCAGAAAGTTGAAAAAAGTCAGATGAAAAAAATAAACATACCTTAAAATTAAAGCTCCTTCTCGGTAAAAACTAAATGTTAGAATGAATTATTGAAAACTGATACGCATCCCGTTTTGTTTACCCGGATTTTGTTTGTTAATGAAATCAACACATGTTACATTGAATAGTATCCATGACGTCTTTTTACGGATATTGCAACGTATTTTTTTCCATGACATGCATATGTTACAAATGTTTTTTTTTTTTTTTTCTATAAAAATCCCTTAATGTATGAACAAATTACTTGTTGTCCAGAGGTAGGAATCTGTAATGTTTAATACTAAAAACTGAAGCTAGCTCTGGAAAGATCATATGTATAGAGAAGATTTTACGCTAATTTTCATGTTTCTGTCACTATATTTTAAAAGGAAACAAAGATCAAATAATGTTTTATAATTTTGTTTTTATTTCTTAGGGGAAAAGCTCTTGGATCAAAAATGGCTTCTCTTAAGGTATATATTTAATTTCATTAAAATACAGATGTATGCCATTTGGCGAAGATTAACAAAATATCAAATAGAGAAATTATATATGAAGATCAGTTATCTTGAACTAATCAACGGAAAAAAAACATGTAATATTGTCAAAGAAGAACATATTGACACTGATATTTTAGTCTTTTTGTTAATTCTTTACAAGCACATGCTGCTATGTAATAAATGCAAAATGCAGTGGAGACGAAAAATTTTATCCTCCGAGAGAATTACATTTTGCGTTATCATATTTTGCGTCAAAATCAAAACACAAAGTGTTATAATACCAGTTTATAACATAATGCGTCGTTATTCCATCTTGCTTCTTCATTACAATTTATTTTGTAATACAACTACCATACAATTTTGCAGATAAATCTCCTTGTCGTCAGCATTGCCGTGCTCTGCGTTTACGTTGTCTATGAAATATCTGCTGAGTCAGCTCACTGTCGTTATCACAGACATACCACTTGGGACTATCGAGTTAAGAATTCCACTCATGTGAAATATTACTACAGGGTCTACTACGGGATCTGCAATTCAACTGGGGTAAGATACTGAAAAGATTTTACAAAAAAACTTTCTTAACAAGAATGTTCAGCAATGTTGGACCGTGCCTTTGACATTGGTTCTGAAGTTAAAATTAACAACCTAGGAACAACTCAAATTATTGGATACTCTGGCAAATAAATACTTCGTATTTCGGAAAACCTTGACATGTTTATGAAAAATAATCATCATATTTTAAAGTGGACTTACCCAATTAGTAACTAAACAGATAAATGATAAAGATTTTGCCTTAATTCTGTATTTGTTTGAACTTGAATTTCTAATTGCACGTTACAATGTTTATTATACAGTTTACTTAAGGAATTATATTTATAAAAATAAAATGATAATAATATAAAAAAAATAATAATAAATATTATAAATAAAGTATTCCTTTGCATGGAATCATAAAATCAGCATAAGGAAATGTCTTGAAATAAGTTTGTAGACTCTCCCTTTTAATTAACCGAAATTAATATTTTTTTTTTCTATGAGTATGTACATGTATATACATATAATTATTTTTAATTCAACATTATATCTCAACTGAGTATATGACGTGTAGAGGACAGCCATATTAACATGCTTTTCTTAATACACCAAATTTAAATAATAGAACAAATTTAAACAGGGCATTGTTGTTATATGAAAAAATATGACCACATACATTATGTTGCCTTAAAAAAAATATTTTTCTTTGTAAAAACATGAACAATGCAATGTGGCATGTTGTTTCTTTTTTAATGGGATAAGAGACATGAAATCAAATAAATTTACTATTCATTTTTTTTTTACAAAGTTCTCAATTTAAGTTGCAAGGAAATAAACTTAAGTATTCATGAATGTACCTAGTCAATTTTGTAAACAATTTTTTTTAGTAACAGGATCATAACATATGTTCAGAAATCTCCCATAGGCGTCTGAAGCAAATTGGAAGTGGGGGGGGGGGGCGACACCAACAAAAGAATTGAGGCTAAGCCCCAATTTTCAATGAATATATAATGTCTATCTTTGCAAATAAATGGGGGGTGGTAAGTACCCCTAGCATCCCTTCCCGGTTCCGACGCCTATGTCTCCAGCAAAGTTCATGCTAAGAAAATAGTTTGAATGACCTAGTACGTAATTTGCTAAATGAATGTTTCCCGCTAAACTCCAAGCAAATTATGACTCGTGTGCAAAATGAATGATATATCATAAATAAAGATAGCGTCATCGTAAGTAGTCCTAGATGAAGACAATGTTTATGGCTAAATGATGTGTCACGTACTTTTTCAAAAAAATCATCATAACGGTGAAATTCAACATCCTTCCAAACTGAAAACGATAACATTTGAAATTTCCTTATAAACGATAATAAGTGCTTTCCGCTTTCTTAATTCGATTTGACTTGAATAATTTTGTGGCTTTCCGAAATACTAATGAACGATTAAACTTCGTCTGATGAGTAAAGCGTACATCCAAATGAAATTCTTACGCAAGTAAAGAATAATGTAAATGTATTCACCATATAACTGAATAAACGTCTGCATCTCAAGGTTAATGCATTAAAATAATGTTTGTTAGTACATAACATATTTGAAGCTGTTAGTGCAGTAAACCTAGTTGTGCATTGCGTAATGTGTGCACAGATGGTTAAATTTGCTGGATGCCTCATATGGAATCAACCGGGATTGGCCAATATGCCGATCCCAATAAGGAAACATCCAATAAGATATAGATTTTGGTACAATATGCAATACAGCACGTATACTTAGTGTAACTGCAATTTTCATATTTTTTTAAACATGAAAAGAAGCATATGTGGGGAAAAAAGAAAAAAAAACCTACAAAATTTAATAGTTTCTTTCCAAACTCACTAGCTCTTTTCAAAATATTTTTTAAAATTAAAACACAGTGTGTCGTATGAAAACTATTCCCAACCTTGTGAGAATACAGTTGACAAACTAGTCAAAGCAGAAGATAAGTGGAACGGTGCTCGATTTTGTCGAACCGCGTCAAAGTGAAGGTAGTGACAGTTCCCAAATAAGAAGTGAAAGTAACAGGTTTTGCAGATAGTTGGTCCCGTGTCATGGAATCCGTTGTCATGCATAAGAAGCATCATTTAAGGATACATAACACAAACAAAAATTTGATGCCTGGATTGGTATATATATTTTTTTGACTTATTTTTAATAGAAATTACATAAATAATAAATCCCTAAAATATAAAGAAATCGTAAGTTTTCTTTGGTGCTTAGATATGCACATATTTTTAACATTGCGACAAAATCTTACGAAGTTCTCCCACTTTACCTGGTTAACATCATTCAGGTTACTTATCTGAAAATAAATCTATGAGAAATATTGCTGATTTCTGAAAAAAATGTTTGTTTGTGTTATTCATCCTTAATGACCCTGATTGCCGAGTAAAGCTTTTAATCTAAAGCCCTTCATTGGTTTTCGATTATATCCGATCTAAATAAAACTTTCTCGCAACGAACGTAAACAAAAAGAACGTTAACCAGTTAATAAATCCAGTTGAGAATTTGATGATTTTTTTTTAATCGGTTTTTCTTTTTTTTTTCTTTCAGAACTTGGTTTTGGACTTGCGTGTTTCAGTTAATGGCGAACCTTTGTATTACACAATAACGTATTCCTTACAAAAGTGAGCATATCGTCCTTATACTGTTGTTCAGAAACAAAAATGGCATTGTTTATAATTATTTATTACATTTTCAACAGTGAAATACTGTGATTTATTTTTTGAATAAAAGTGATATTCTCTCACAGTGTGAAAGGATGCCAAAATGATATTCTCTCACGGTGTGAAAGGACAAGTAAGTACAAAATAATTTCTGGCCTGTCATAAGATAGAGATAGTAACTAAGCATCTTGATAGAGCTAAAACTGCAAATTTCTTTTCAAATATGATGCTAAAATCAATGCTATGTAATGTTCTCAATCACATAACTTCTAAGCTATGACGTCTCAACCGCTCAACTATGACGTCAAGCCTATGACATTGTGTTAAGAAAAGACAGAGGCAAGGGAAAATCAAAGAAAATGTAATAAACAGAAAATTCAATGTTTTGTAGATGAATATGGAATTTATTTCACTCGTGAGACAGGATTTTTATTTATATTTTCACTCGTGCTTTGCACTCGTGAAAATATTTTTAAAAAATCCTGTCCCAATCGTGAAATAAATTCCATATTCATCTACAAAACATTGAATATCCTCTATGTACAATATTAGCTATAGTAATCCAGTCTAACAAAATAACAAATTTGCTTCGTCATGCACATTTCCTAAAAGTAAAAATATAGGACATTTGCTTCCATTTGCATTAATAAAAGCTATAGGGGAAATATAGTCATCTTCCCTATTTTCTACATTAACAATTTTAATGTAAATGCGTCTTGAAACAAAGCATGGTAAATACCAAAATTTGGTATATAACTGGGCACGTAAAACATTACAGAATTAAAGATTATTGATTTTATTATTTCTTTTGTATGTATCATAATATCTTATGACATTTGTCTCAATAAATGAAAGGTTTTATTGTACCCGAAAGTTTGTAGCTGTGTTCTTGATTCTTTAGCATTCTTTGAGGTGTAAACAAAAACTATTTTTGTGTCTGTTTTATACTTTACTCGCCTTCATAATTCAGAAGAAGCACTGAAGCAGACGATGAAAGCTTTGAAGAAAGGGAAAGGAACAGTGAAGGAGAGGAAAGACAGACAAAGAGTGCAGAGGTATAAGCAAACCTTTTCATCTCTCTCTCTCTCTCTCTCTCTCTCTCTCTCTCTCTCTCTCTCTCTCTATTATTGATAAAAATGTATTTTTATCAAACTACATATTGTCTTTTTATTTTCCTCAAAAAGGCGTCTGATTATTATCAAATACTAAGAGACATCGAAGGAAAAAAAGATTCTAAAAGAAGCAATGGATATTTGTCTACTGAAATCGGAGGCTAAAGTAAGGCACAAATGAGTCAGAAGTAAGTCATTAATATTTTATATCAAAATATTCAAAAGAAAGCTCATGGGTTTACTAATCGATTAAACTATTCGAGGATTTGATTGATTTTTTTTTTCAACTTTTCAAACTATTTTTCCATAATTCCTGTTGAATATTTTTGTTGTTATAGGACACTTGAAGGATGGAGAAACTAAAACAACACTCTTTTATTTCAATTATGAATGAAATAAAAATTTTTGCATTTTGATTACTGTTTATTTGATCTCTTATGTACAGAAAAAATATGCAATTGCAATTTGAAGCAAGGTGCATGAAAAATAAATTGCATTTTATCAATATATGTACCACTTCCTAATAATATTTACAAAGTAGAGGGCTATGAATATTTATCTTATATTTTGATAATTACATCCTTATAAAAGCCAACTAACAATTAAATTGAATGACAAATAAGATGACGTCAGCATTTTCATCGTCTTTCATTATTAACATGTACATATAGTAATATCCTCCTATCACCTATACATGGTGTTTACGTCTCCCAACTTATTTGAGAGCATCCCTGAGTACGAACAATTTTTATACTGTAGCAGGACACTGACAAATAAGTTGATGTTACAGGGATGTCAACAACTTCGTTTAATGTCAGCATCTTGTAAGTTCAAGGGTCGTTTTAGTGATCTAGTTAGCAAAAGAAAAAGGCTTTCATTGGGTCGTATTTTGACTGACGTTGTTCAATGTTTTATGTCCTGATCACAGATTTGCATTGTTTGTACGTCTTATTAAGATCGATTATGTTCGAATTATGTTCGAATTCCTCATCTATTTTATTAACTTAATTGTCTTTTCCATAATTAGTAATGCAAAGGATTTACCTGTGCAACATGAAAGGTATTTAAAAATTGCATTTTCTTGAAAGTCAGTTTGTGTAGGCTCTTCCTTAGCAGGTTTAAGAGAGTTGATGAAATTGCTTTTGAAAGAAACGTAATATTTCATTCCAAAAATGATCCAGGCAATTACTTTCGCGTTAGCACATGTGTGAAGTAAAGCCTTACTTGGTATGCATTTGTCAGAAAACATAAACAAGACTATTGATTGAAGGAAATGATGCCCCAAACACCTAATTAACCAGTGATAATATTCTTTATATCCATTAAAGAGTAATCCAGTCTTTAGCCTTTAGAAATATTTACCGTCTTCTATGGATCAACTTCAATCTCTTGATTGACTCGATAAACTTGATATAGCCCAAATAGTTAGTAAATAGGTGTTTCATTATACCGAAGCCGACTTTACTTCTGTTACCTCACAAACCAGATACATCACAATACAACAACCCATATATATAGTTTTGAGATGAAAAACGACACAAATGAATGCTTCGGGTGAATAGTTTGTTGACTATTTACCATGTGCAAATATCACATAACTATTCCATGGTAGGGGATGTTTAAAAAAAATAGAATATTTATTTGTCATACTTTTATGTAGAAAAAAATCACAGAGGTACATGTATAATATATATATATATATATATATATATATATATATATATATATATATATATATATATATATAAAATAATAATCATACCTTACCATTTTTTTCAAGAATCATCTCAGGCGTCGACTTAATAAGTCATATGTTGAAAATACTTTTCTTGCACTAGGCATGGTGTTGGCTTGAAAATAAGAAGCAATAAACCCTTACCAAAATTTAAATACACGACATTCTGAATTCTTAGGTAATCCTAACATTGGTCCAAGTGAGTCATATATTGAAAATGATCATATCGAGGAGAATCTTTTTCTTCACTCCTTTAAACAAATGAGGCAAAGTGTGTGTTTGATCATAATAAATGTAGAACTCTCTACAAAAATTATGTAAAAAAAAAAAGAAAGAAGCGGAAAGGGTTCTATGATGTTACAAGAAGTGGTTGGAAAAAGAAAGAATAATGCTTACTTTTAAGCTTAGTGGATTTCTGAGCTTTATCTGACTATCGGGTTATATTCTCCAACAATTCCTCCGAGACTGGAATTATTTCTTAAATAAAGGCCAACTAACCGCTAAATTGTATGACAAACAAGATGGTTCAGCTTTTTCATCGTCAAGTTTCCTTATTTATGTATATGCCCTTATTTATGCACATGTAGTTTTATACCCCTATCATCTGTTTATGGTGTATACGTATCTCCCAACGTATTAGAGAGCATGCTCTGAGTACGTTATCAAGAACACATTCAATGAATAAAAAAAATAGTGATTATGCTCTCTTTAGCAATTCCGTTATCATTAAGTCCATGATCTACAACCCATGTTCTAGGACCTTAGTTGGTCATTATTTAAAATATGCTCCTCTTGTGGACATCCAAAGGTTAACTGTTTGCGTGACTGCAGTGAATACCTAACCGTTTAAAAAATGTAAAAGTCATGGCTTCTTGTGTCAGGGTTTATATAGAAGGGTCGTTCAATAAAAATATATTAAACATGAATATTTCCCATACGGAAAAAGAAACCAAGAAAATTACATGTTTATAACAGCCCTTTAGCTATATTTTAAAACTTCTTGGTCGCTTGATCCAGGATCAAGTCCAGTTAATGGGCTTTAATCTTTATGTATGTAATAGATAATACTTCTAACACACCACCATAAAAATTAATTTTTACCTTTTTAAAAGTTGCGTAAGACATATCTTATCTATAAATTTGTAACCATCATTACAAGTAAGAAGCTCAAATGCCCAAACTTTAAAAAAAAAAAAAAAAAAAGATAATTGAAGAGTAAGCATTTCAAAGAAACACATGAAAATTGTGCTATTGCGTTGTAAAGGAATAAATTTTCATTTCCTTCTTTGAAAGTGTGTTCTTTGTTTATATTCATTAAATACTGAGAAAATCCTTACAAAAAATTCAATTATAGTTTACTATAACTTTGATACTTTCATTTACCATGAAATTTTAATCTAATACTTTTTTGAGATTTCAAAGCAAACAATCTCTTGAGTTTGATAACAATAATGTAAAATTTGGAAATGATATGCGAATATACAAGTAATAGTTCCTCTTGATATATATTTGACTGATTGATTGTATGTTGTTTAAGGTATTAGGGGTGTAATGGTCATGACCTTGAATATGACTAAATTCAGTGTAGTTATAATGGACAACACTTCAGGCAATATTTCCCAAAGTTTCAAGCAATTCTGTCCAAACATAATTTTTCTATACTTATTTTCATGCCTGTACCCTCTAACCACTGGTGCACCTTTAATAAACAAAAGGTACAGATGTAATTTTTACCTCTACTCTAGTTAGTCGCAAACAGTTGAATGTTTCATGTATTCAGCTGCAACACTAAGCAGTACAGATTGCATATATGCACTCTTTTTAGTTCAAATTCATCAGGTATGATATATGAATACTTGTAATCGAGAGAACTTGTCTACTTTGAGTGACAATTTTGGCGATTTTTTTCATAAAATCTTTCGTAATATTCTGTCAAAGAAACATATGGTAGGAAAGATCAATAAAAGAACAATATCAATTATGTGTAAGGTGTGTTCGTGATAATATAACAACAACAACAAAATTATTCCATCCACAATATTTATCTATATTCTGTATCATAGCGATGTACCCCTAAAAATTTAAGCCGTTATTTTTTGTAAATGTCATGGGATATGTGATAATTAATGAAATAATGAGCATATATAAACAACAGGTTATTGTCATATTGAATACACTTCACTTTAGTCAGATTCATTTGTTCAGAAGATTGAACTCGTCACAGTGACCTTGACCCAGACAAAGATTTGCAAAATGACCTACATTTTTGCAGCTTCCATGTGCATGAAGTTCTTTACAGATCAAAACATTACTATACAATGTAGACTAAAATATATACTGACAGAAACACTAATCAAAAGGTAAAAAAAGACTAATTTGTTCTCCACATGTATATAAAAAATATCAATAAAAAATATTCATCCCCCCCCCCTTCTAAACAGTAAACTCATGTAAAAAATAAATTAATTAATTAATGTAAATAAAATAACAAAAATTACCCTAACCCAAAACAGAATAAATCATTTATTCCCATATCTTATATTAATTTTTTTCCTTTAAAGTTGTAAAACCGGTATTTACATTCTATTTTTTACTGATATATTTTGAACATCTCACATATTTTACGTATGGACATTGAACGTCACTTATAAATTGCAGATTCTACAATGCACGCAATGCTATCTATTACGTACATTTTTACCCCTCAAACGGTTTGCTGATATTGAGAGAATCACAAGAAATCGCGATGATAATGTAAAGTTTTGAAGAAAGGTATACTTCGTTCGTTCTTCGAAAATGGTGATATTTTTAGAAGTTGGAAAAACTCATGAATTGTGTATTTGAAGGTATCATTGTTTTGACTGCATATTTTGTCTAACAAAATATATTAACGTGTTTTCTACGTAATATCATATTTATTCTCTCCTCCGCTAAGTTATATTCCTTTTCTTTGGTGTATGTTTTATGTTAGCGTCCTAGGCCGTCTTGACGACACTCCATTTTTGTTTAAGAAGTACAGTGTTCCGAAAACTGCCAATGCCAGACACCTCGGTAAATGCCGTCATTTTTACCGGAAATGGCGTATTACACCTCTAATACCTTAACGTTCCACTCGAGAATTTTACACTCATATAGAGATGTCACAATATACCGGTGAAGGGCTTCAAATTTTGACCTTCACTCGGCGCTCAGGGCCATTGAGCAGTGGGAGATCTTTATCATGCCAACGCTTGCCGTGACACGGGGCTTTGGTTTTTAAGGTCTCATTCGAAGGACCCGCTACTTTGACTTCAGAGTGCCGAGCGCATGGCGAAGGAACAGTTGCTACCCATTTTTTTATCGACAGTGGCGGCCGAGATTTTAACCCACGACCTCCCGATCACGGAGCGAGCGCTCTACCGACTGAGCTACCGTGAACGGTCCCTTTAATATAAAAAAATGTGTGAATATATGATTTCGAGAACATAAAATATAATAATCTGAAATCTATAGTAAAAAAAAAAACTTTGATTAACTTTAGTTAACACTTTCAACTATTATAGTAAAAACTTTGATACTATAATAATTAACTATAGTTAACTATAGTAAACTACAGATAACTATAGTATATTTTTTTGTTAGGGAACACATAACTGGGTATGCAGCTTTTGACCATAAAAGAGAGTAGTAGGGCAGTCGGAT